CTGGACGAATCACGTCATGTTTCTGTACTGCCGACTTTCATCAGCTCAAGCTCCACGTTAACGTGAGAGAGGTCAGTATCGCCTCCGTTCCCTTTTCTTTGTAAAGATATATATTGACTTCAGAGAGGAAGGGAGAGGGAGAGAGAGAAACATCAATGGTGAGAGAGAATCATGGATCAGCTGCCTGCTGTCCTGCCCAGAATCAAACCCCGACCTCCAGGTTCATAGGTCGAGGCTCGACCACGGAGCCACGCCGGCCGGGCTGACTGTTTCCGATCGTTCTCATCTCGGGCCAGCATGTCCCACTCTCGGCGTAGTCTTCCTCTTACTACCTGCCCAGTCATGTCAGGTCCTGTGACACTGAAAATAATAAAAATAAAAATAAAAATAAAACAGACAGATGGTGACAAGGGCCCCGCCCTCCAAACGATTGTCCTTTCTTTGGGGCGTGTGGCCCCAGCACTCATGTGAGCGTTGGGTGCTGATGGCTTCGCAGATGACGGCGCCGATTTCAGATACTGAATTTCTTTCTTTTTTAAAAAAATAATTCTTTTTTGTTGAAAATATTGCATATGTGCCCCTTTCCCCCATTGACCCCCTCCACCCCCCGCCCCAGGCCCTCACCGCCCGTTGTCCGTGTCCATGGACCAAGCATAGATGCACACGGGGTCCTTGGTTGATCGTCTCCCAGCCACCCTCCCCCGCCTTCCCTCCGAGGTTCCGCACTCTGTTCCATGTTCCGTGTCTCTGGCTCCACTCCGTTCACCAGTTCATTTTGTTGCTTAGATTCCACAGAAGAGGGAGCTCTTACGGAATTTGTCTTTCTCTGACGGGCTTGTTTCACTCAGCACAATGTGCTCCGGTAAAAGAGGCTGTTCTTTTCACAGCCGCACAGTATTCCCTGCTGCGAATGCACCACAGCTGTTATCCGCTCACCTGCCGATGGGCCCCTGGGCTGCTTCCGGCTCTGAGCTCTGCAGACGCTGACTGTCGGGGGTGGCGAGTCCCCTGTGCGCAGGCTCTCACGATAGCGTGTCCTCCCCAGAACGGGCTGCTGTCCGCCCTCCCCCATCTGTGCTGCTGGCTCTTGGGCATCCTCGCGGGGCACGTGTCCGACGGCTTCCTGTCCAGGAAGATGCTCAGCTTGCTCGCCGTCCGGAAGCTCTTCACCGCCCTGGGTAAGTGACGGCCCGGCCCGGTCCAGCTCCCGCGGGGCCCCCCCATGTCCAGGACACACCTGACCGTGCCCCCCGACCGCCCAGGCCTCCTCCTGCCCGCCGTCTTCGTGGTGGGCCTGCTCTACCTGGGTCCCGGCTTCCACGGCACCGTCGCGTGCCTCACGCTGGCCAGCGCCACACTGGGCTTCTGCGTCGCCGGGATGGTGATCAACCCCTTGGACATCGCCCCCAGGTAGCGGTCACTTTCTCCTTCTTGGCGGCGTCCCGGCTCCCGAGGGTGTTTAAGATTGCGGCGGTTCTGGAGTTCGCGGCCAGCTTGCCAAAAGGCCGGCTCTGGGCGAGGCTTGGCTGCTCTGTGGCTGCTGTTGTGCGCACATCTGTGCGTCCTGAGCCCTTCCAGCAAGCGAGGAGTGTTTACCTTCTAAGGAGGCCGAGGCTTAGGCACTTCCTTGCTGGCCTAAGAGCTCACCGCCGGTTTGGGATCGTACCCAGGGTTTTTTATATATATGTATATTTTTTATTGATTTCAGAAAGGAAGGAAGAGGAAGAGAGAGAAACATCAATGATGAGGGAGAATCACTGATCGGCTGCCTCCTGCACGCCCCACACTGGGGATCGAGCCCGCAACCTGGGCCTGTGCCCTGACGGGGAATCGAGCTGTGACCTCCTGGTTCATAGGTCGATGCTCAGCCCCTGAGCCAGGCCGGCCGGGCCACGTTGCTCTGAATGGTGCCAGTGCTCCTCGGAGAACACAGACCCGGGCTCCCCGGAGCTGTGTGGAGCGGAGGCCGGTGGAGAGGCAAGCTCGGGCGGGTGTGGTGCCCTCTGCCGCAGTCGGAGAATCTCGCCATCAGCTCCGCGGGTTGAGCGCAGTCCTGAGGATGCGTGTCCATTGCATTGACTCAGTTCCAAGACCCTCCCCAGGACTGCCCGCAGCGTCTGGTTCTGTGGAATTGTCTGAAGACATAAAAGGGGTCTTTCACAGAGAAGCACAAGCCAACGGAGCCACATGCTTGAAAAACAAGCCGCGTTGAGCATCTGCACACAAATAGGCAAAGGAAGTGATGGGCAGCTACCATGCTGGGTCTTTCCATCCACCGGAGATGCAATTTTCTAAAGCTCTGTGCATCCTAGTGTTTCACAACGTGAAGCAGGATTTGAGAACGCGGTTGAATTCCGCGTAGGGTTGCACAGGGAGAGGGTCACTGACATCTCTGCTGGGAAAGGCCTGAGGAGGCCAGTAAAGACCACACATGCTCACCACAGGCCTCAGAGGTCAGCGAGGCCACAGAGAGCAGAGCACGCACCTGGGCGAGGCGTGCTGGCAGCGCCCACCGCGCTCTCAGTTGCCCTTTGCCGGTTCTGGGACGTGGCAAAGGCTGGTGTCCCGGGTTGGGCCCTGGCCGAAGGCTCTGTCCTGGAGAGAAACTCACCCAGCACCCGGTGGTGGCTCAGGGCTGCAGCGACAAAGTTAAACATTAAGGGAACTTAAACACAAGGTCAGCTTTCTCCCTAAGATGTTGGTTGGATTCTGAAGTTCGCGGGGGCAAGGGGCAAAAACCCAGCAAAACCCTGTGAGGAGCACAGCAAAGAGGAAATCCTCCCTCGGGACCAGGGAGTAGAGGCCTGTCGCCCTCACGTCACAGCGGTGAGCCCGCGTCTGACGCTCCAGCCAGGACCGGCGACCCCGCTGCCTGGGGGCGGCCCGGGGCCCGTCGCTCTGGGGCTGTGGGGCTGACCAGGTGGACAGTCCTTCCATGTTGATGAAGCCTAAGCCACTCCCATGACCAACACCCATCACCTCTGAGTTCCTCCGCTGTGTGTGCCGACCTCCTAACTCACGTGGCTTCCAGGCCAACACGGTCTCATTGTCTCAGCATCGTAACGTCATTTACTGCTGAGGCCCACATCCCCCTGCAGTGTAACCGGAAAGCTACTCATAACCATCGTCTCCGTCTGATCTTTTTAAAAATATGCATATTTTTAAGGTGAAGGGGAGAGAGAGAGAAAGAGAGAGAGAGAGAGAGAGAGAGAGAGAGAGAGAGAGAGAAACATCAATGATGAGAGAGAATCATTGAATGGCTGCCTCCTGCACGCCCCACACTGGGGATCGAGCCCACAACCCGGGCCGGGAATCGAACCTGTAACCTCCTGGTTCATAAGTCTGGTTCACAGGTCGACACTCAACCACTGAGCCACGGTGGCCGGGCCTCTGTCTGACACCTCAATGGCGTTTGAGGAGGAGGAGGGTGGGAAATCCGGGAAACCAACAGCTATGGTTCTTAAACCTCATCTTGAACCAAGTGAGGTTCAAGCTTTAAAAATACACCCGTGTGTCGCCATTCTCTCTTGTGCAGATATTACGGGTTTCTGAAAGGAGTCACGGTTCTCATTGGAATGACGGGGGGGCTCATTTCGTCCACTCTGGCTGGGATAATCCTCAATCAGGTAAGAAACGGATCGTGCCGTCCCGGGTGATCGGTACAGCCCGGCCGGGTGGCTCCGCGTTAACCACACTCACAAGCCGCTCAGAGAAACAGGGTCCTGTGAGAGGAGAGACAGGATGTCACAGAACCAGACCCTCAGGAGCAGATGCTCAGAGACACCGGGAACGCACCTGAGGTTTAAAGACAGAAAAGAGAGGATCGAAACTACAGACATGAAACACGAGATTTGACCAAGAAATATACAAAGGTCACCTCTGGCCATTACAAATGTCACACTGAAGTTAGGAATTAAGACGAAATACAGCCAAACGGAGAACGAGTGCGGTGTCCAGAGCCGAGGGGCAGACCCGGGAATCTGTCTGGGTGGAGTGCTGGCCTCCCGCTCCTCCCTCCGCCGTGTCCAGCGTGGAGCCCGTCCTCGTGTTAATGTTTTAAATGCCGCAGACACGGCGACGCGCCCGACCACGCGTCTCTATCTGCACTTTCATCCCGCAGGACCCGGAGGCCGCCTGGTCTGCCATCTTCTTCCTGGTGGCGGCCGTCAACGTGAGCAGCCTCCTCTTCTACCTGGTCTTCGCCGCGGCCGACGTGCAGGCCTGGGCCCAGGAGAAGCAGCTCACCCGGCTCTGAGGGCGCAGGGCGGGTGGCGGGCGGGGTGTGAGCGGGCGGCTACCCTGTCTTCTGGGCTGTGACCACGTGGCTCTGGCTGTTCCGGGCGTTTCTTTGGTGGCAGCTGCGCCCGCCGTCTGCTGGGCGTTTGGACACGGTCTCACGGGGGCTCTCAGCCCCCCTCCCGCGGTCCTGGCTTCCTCTCTTGCCCGGGTGAGCAGTTGTCCTCCGGCCCCCGATGCTCTCACCGGGACAACGGGAGGTGATTGGTTCCCGTGTCCACAACACGCCTGGAGCCACACGCGTGGGGTTTCCACCGAGCGGTTCTCCAGGCTCTGCAGACGCCAGCGGGGTGTCCTCCGATGTTACTCAGACGCCGACTACCCAGAGGTCGTCCAGACCCCACGGTTCAGGGCTGGGTCCCCCGACGGCCCTGACATCAGACACCGACCGGAGTGGCGGTGCCCGAGGTCCCCACACTTCTGTTGCTACCACGACCCGCCCCTCAGTGTGACAATTTGCTAGAGTGCCTCACAGAACATAGGAAACAGACGGCTCACTGGCATCGTTTATTATAAAGGCTGTAACTCGGAAACGGCCCAATGGGAAGGTACACAGGGTGGGGGTGGGGAGACAGGCAGGGGCTCCGTGCCCTCCCCGGGGGCACCCCTCCACGCACCTCCCTGGAGTCACCCACCCGGAAGTTCTCAGAGCCCGTCACTTGGGGTTCTTATAGAAATCTCACTGCGCAGGCGTGAGGGTTCAGGCATGGGCCACTGATGAACACCCCCGGTCCAGCCCTTCTCCCCTCCTGGAGGCTGGCCCCCGGCAGCGGCCCCCACCCCGAGGCTCGCGGGGCCCCGGCCGCAGGTCCCCTCACCTTGAACCACAAAGACACTCATCGCCCCAGAAAGTCTAAGGGTCTTAGCAGCTCGTGTGACACCAACGAGGGACTAGACCAAACAGGGTAACAAACGAGGCTCCCATTTTCCCGGCACTCGGGACGCCACCACGAGGGCGGTAGGGTTCCTGTGCCGGGAACGGGGGGCAGAGACCAGCTACACGTGATCATGTCCCAGCAACAGTGGGAAGAGTGAGCAACACATAGAGATCCAAACGCAGCCCCGGCCGCCTTGGCTCAGTGGGTAGAGCGTCAGCCTGTGGACTGAAGGGTCCTGGGTTCGATTCCCAGTCAGGGCACAAGCCCGGGTTGAGGGCTTGATCCCCTGTGGGGCGTGCAGGAGGCAGCCAATCAGTGATTCTCTCTCATCATTGATGTTTCTATCTCCCTCTCCTTTCCTCTCTGAAACCAACAAAAATATATTTTCTTGAAAAGAAATGCAGACACACCCACGCTTGCAGGAGCTCACACTTCAATCACTGCCGCCTCCTCCTCCCCGAACCCCAATAAACCTCCAGGCGGAGCCTTCAGGGTCCGAGAAGAGACCGGAAGCAAAGTCGGTCCAACGAAAGCACCAAAGGGCAACGCCCGGCTACGGCTCACAGGCGGGTGAGGGTCTGCACGCGGGCCCAGTCCTGCACCTTCCGCTCGGCTTGAAGACGAGGAAGAAGACCAGGCCCGAGACGTCCACGGCCGCGACAGCAGAAGACGTTTCTCCATCCCAGCTCGCGTCCTGGAGACGAGCCACCGGTCACCACGGCCCCAAGCGCACGTCCCTCCTGTTCAGAGGGCGGTGGCTCCAGCTTCCCCTGCCACCTCCCAGCTCAGCTCCGGACTGTGGGGGGAGCCTGGCCGAGCCTGGGACAACGCAGGGACCCCCAGCCTTTCCCCTCTGCAGAGACGTGTCCCCCCAACACACACCCCCAACGCACCCCCCCCAAGACCCCCGAGAGCATTGTCTCTCTCCCCCCGCTTTGCTTCCGCCCTCGGCTTAAAATATCATTTTTTCCATGAGTCCTTCCTCGACCCGCCCCTATTTAAAATGGAAATTCGGCCCTCGTATTCATCTCCTATCAAGTTCCTTTTCCAGAATAAAAGCTTCCCAAGCGGCCAGGCACTTCCACCTCGTTCCCGTAGTGCCTTGCGTGGCGCCTGCCCCAGGTCCATGTGTGTTTGCGGAATGAATGAATGACAGGGAGACCCTGTCAGCATGAGGATGTCCATTTTAAATGACCATTTCCTGACGAGTGTCAGTGACTGAAAGGGAACTGAAGCTTCAAGTGACAAAGGACGTGATGGCGGACAGGACGCGCCTCCTCCTCAGTCTCCATTTTCCTGACTTCCTTGTGGGAGATCACAGCAAACTGAAAAAATGACACTCACGTGGCCCGGCCGGCGCGGCCTGTGAACCAGGAGGTCACGGTTCAATTCCCCGTCAGGGCTCGATCCCCAGTGGGGGGCGTGCAGGAGGCAGCCGATCCATGATTCTCTCTCATCACTGATGCTTCTATCTCTCTCCCCCTCTCCCTTCCTCTCTGAGATCAATAAAAATATATATTAAAAAAGAAAAAGAATGCCACGCATGCGGATGCCCCGTACATCTCCTCTGCCCACGGATTCCAAGGAAGCGTCCGCGGAAGCTGTCCGTCCTGGGAACTTGAACGCATCTCCCAGGACGGAGGCTGCTCCACGCCGCTGCTCCTCCCCGCTGTCCTTCGCTCAGCCTCTCGCCCGCTCGTTCTGTCTGGGTTTGCTGGGTTCCTACCTGGCGTGACCGGCTCTTTCCCGGTTGCGGGGAACCTTCAAGGTGTGAGGATTGAACGTCCCGCGTCCTGGGAAGCCCTGCCCTCCCGAGCGGCCCTCGGAGGCCGGCCACTGTCTGCTGCACAGGAAGGTCAGCGCGGCCGCCAGATCTGATGACGAGCGTGGAAGCTCATCTCCTCAGACCTCGTGAGGCATCAACGCAGGGAGTCGAGCATGCTCCTCCCTCCACCCGAACTCGAGGGCTGCGGGGGCGCTGAGCCCCCAGCCGAGCCACGGGGCGGAGGAAACGCAAACGCCCTGAGTCTGACTCCGGGGGACCTGGAGGTTCCGCTCGGGAATATTTTCACCAGGACCTTTGACCTCACCTGACTGAGGAAAAATCCAGAAACCGTGGGAGCGATGACTCCTGAGAGCTGAACAAAGACCAAGGATAAGCCCTTGATAAAGCCAGTGTACCTGAGAGAGAAAGGAGAGAGAGAGAGAGAGAGAGAGAGAGAGAGAGAGAGAGAGAGAGAGGAGAGAGAGAGAGAGAGAGAGAGAGAGAGGATCAGCAAAGGGTCATCTCAGCTGGTCTGCTGCCGTCCTGCGCTCAGCTTTGGGGTGGCCTGAGCTGGTGTTGACCCTTCGTTAAACCTGATTGAAACAGCCCGGCCGGCGTGGCTCAGTGGTTGAGCGTCGACCTATGAACCAGGAGGTCAGGGCTCAATTCCCAGTCAGGGCACAGGCCCAGATTTCAGGGCTGTGTAGGCGGCAGCCGATCCATGATTCTCTCTCATCATGGATGTCTCCACCTCTCTCTCCCTCCCTCCCTCCCTCTCCCTTCCTCTCTGTAGTCCATAAAAACATGTTTTTAAAAAAACAGAACCCTGAGCGAAACGTACTGACCGCGATGGCTGCCACCCTGTGCAGGGCCTGCGACACCCACGGGGCAGCTGTGCTAACGGGTCAGTGTTGTTCATACAAAACAGACAGATGGTGTTTGACCTCGTTTATATCGCCTCTTGGCTTCTGCTATGAAGTCCGCCCTGGCAGCCTTGCTTGGGGGACACAAGACCCCTCACTGGATGACACGTGTCTCCGCGTGTCCTGCTGGCCCACGTCTGAAGGAGTGTGTCCCGAGGACTATGAGTCTCCGTGGTCTCTGATACCGAGCTGTCCCGGAGGCGATGCCCCTCGTGCGCCTGCCCTTTAGCCTTATCCTGCCCACGTGAGCAAGCCCCGTGGCCCGAGGCCGCGTGACCGCCGCGTCCCCCTCGGGGAACGATGGCTCCTTCCGGGCAGCATCTGGACGCAGGGCTGGGGCCGACATTCCCCAGGCCCCGTCCCACGTGTCACTCACACGCTGACCCACGGTCACGGAGGTCCAGGGCCCCGGACCGAGGCTGAGCTGCCGTGGGGGAGGAGGAGGCCCAGGGTCCTTACCTGGGAGCGATGTCTATGAAGTTGACAAGGGCCCCGGATTGGCAGAGGCTGCTGGTGGCCAAACTCAGGACCAAGAAGGCCATGGTGACGCCCAGGCTGAAGCTGACCCAGGGCAGGAGCACGGAGAACAGGCTGGGGAAGAGCACCCCTGGCGGGAGGCAGACGGAGAGCTGGGGAGCTGCCGAGCCCCTACCCCCCGCCCCGGCCACCAGCGTCCTTACCTATGGAGGTGAAGAGCCGCCTGAGCACAAGGAGCGAGAGGATGTCTCTGGAGAGGAGGAAGTCTGCCAGCAGGCCCCCCAGGATGACGCTGATAAAGGCCACGCCAAGCAGCAGGGCGGACAGGAAGCCACTCTGCAGACCAGAGGGGAGTCAGTGCAGGTGCACGCCCACCCCCGCAGGCCCGGCTCGTCCCCAGGGTGCCGTCCACACCCGGCTGCTCTTTCGATGCCCATCACCGTCATCACACACCCCACGCCACTGCAACGGGCCCACGTCACTTCTCAGGGGAAATGTGTGTAGTTTGAACACAGGATGAGTGCTCTCTCCGTACAGAAAGTCGCCGGGAAACAGGTGCTTAAAGAACCAGCCCCGGCTGGGGGCTCGTCGGTTGGAGCATCGTCCTGGGCACCAAAAGGTTGTAGGTTTGCCTCCCGGTCAGAGCACATGCCCCCCATGTGGGACGTGCAGGAGGCAGCCGACCCATGATTCCCTCTCATCATTGATCTCTCTCTCTCCCTCTCTCTGAAATCAATAAAAATATATTATTTTCTTAAAAGGAAAAGGAGGCCAATGGGACGGATTTAACAGGCACGTGGGCCAAGCTGTTTATTTTACCAACGAGTAAACCAAAGGCCACCACGGTGACGTGTCGTCGAGAGAAAACACCCTGAGATCCATGGGGCCCCGGGTCTGGGCCTCAAGTCTCTCTCCA